ATCCGTCTCACCGAGGACAACAACCGTCTCGTTAAAAAACTCACTGAGACAACACAAGACGTGACCTCTAGAGATGCTGAGCTCCTCCAGAGAGACGCTGAGATCATCCGTCTCACAGAGGACAACAACAGCATCATTCTCAAGCTCTCTGAAACAGCAGAAAAGCTGAGAGTTAGAGATGCTGAGATCCTCCAGAGCCAGACAGCCTGGGAAGATAAATTACAGTCTCTGAGAGACAAGTTCTACAACCTGGTAGAAATTCAACAGAGCTTGGAGGCACAACAGACCCAATCTAGGATCAAAGTGGAAGCCAAAATCGGCCAGAGAGACACTGAGATCATCCGTCTCACACAGGACAACAACAGCCTCATTCACAAGCTCTCCAAAACAGCAGAAGAGCTGAGAGTTAGAGATGCTGAGCTCCTCCAGAGCCAGACATCCTGGGAGGATAAATTACAGTCTCTGAGAGACAACTTCTGCAACCTGGAAGAAAGTCAACAGAGCATGAAGGCACAGCAGACCCAATTTAGGGTCAAATTGGAAGCCAAAATCAGCCAGAGAGACACTGAGATCATCCGTCTCACAGAGGACAACAACTGTCTTGTTCACAAGCTCTCTGAAACAGCAGAAGAGCTGAGACGTAAAGGTGCCCAACTCCTCCAGAGCCAGACATCCTGGCATGATAAATATGCCACTCTGGAGAAGGTTACAGAGGACCTGGCTGAGAAACAGCAGAGCTGGGAGGCACAACAGACCCCATCTAGGGTCAAAGTGGAGCCAGACATCAGCCAGAGAGATGCTGAGATCCTCCGTCTCACAGAGGACAACAACAGCCTCAATAACAAGCTCTCCAAAACAGCAGAAGAGCTGAGAGTTAAAGATGTCCAACTCCTCCAGAGCCAGACATCCTGGCATGATAAATATGCCGCTCTGGAGAAGGTTACAAAGGACCTGGCTGAGAAACAGCAGAGCCTGGAAACAGAGGTTACGCAGCTGGTCGCTGACAAGGCGGAACTCGAAGACCTCTGTTTGTACATCAACAAGAAGAGGAAACGCTTCTTGTTGTTTCCAAGAAGGTCTTCCGATGACAGAGAGACCCAGCTGCAGAAGATGAAGATCAAAATGCAGCAGAAGGCAGCAAAAACAAGAGGAGATGAGAAGATGGAGGAAGAAATGGAGGCTGGTGATTGTTAAGCTCAGGCTGGACATCAGTAGCTCCCATAGCTTTCTCAATTTATGTGCGGTCTTCTCCTGGTGCTCAGGTTCACCCGTCAGTGTCAGTCACATTTAAAAAAAAAGGAGGTAGAGGAGGAGGCAATTGTTGCTCAGCTCAGGCTGGGCAACAATTGCCTCCCAGAGATGTCTGTGTCCCAGTCATCCAGGTCATGGTACTCATAAGTACTATATCGTAGGCAAAGGGACACAGGCAAATCCATTTGCCTACGATATAGCACTGACGGCTTCCACAGAGGGTTTTCTCCTGGTGCTCAGGTTTGCCCGTTAATGTCAATGACATTTAAAAAAACAATACTCTAGAAGGAAGAACAAACTAGAGCAGATGAGAAGAAGGAGGTAGAGGAGGAGGCAATTGTTGCTCAGCTCAGGCTGGGCAACAGTTGCCTCCCAGGGATGTCTGTGTCTTAGTCATCCAGGTCATGGTGCTCATAAGTACTATATCGTAGGCAAAGGGACACAGGCAAATCCATTTGCCTACGATATAGCACTGACAGCTTCTGTAGATTATTATGGGCTCTGTGCACCAGCTCCACTACTTCCTGAAAGGAAGTAGGCACGAGTATTTCCTGTCCTATACTGTTGGAGCACACACCTGATTAATCACTTAATCCAACAGTATAGGACAGGAAATACTCATGCCTACTTCCTTTCAGGAAGTAGTGGAGCTGGTGCACAGAGCCCATTATTATCTGCTCACGGGTTTTCTCCTGGTACTCAGGTTTTCCCGCCAATGTCAATCATATTAGACTATACCATCATTAGTCACAATAAAATGACATCAAATTGGAGTTCAAAGTTTCTGTGTCTTTGAATGAAAACAAACAGCATAAATACAATGTTATGACATTATGGAAGGTAAAAAATGTAAGAACTGGTATCTGTTGAAGTTATGGTTTAAACATCTCTGAAACTAATCAATGAAACTGATCAATGACAAAACGATCAATGTAATAAAGATGTTGTATTCATGTGATGTCGGAAAAAAATCGAAAAATGACTTTCAGAATGGGATAATTCACATGAACGCCACCTCATGTCAGAAAAACAACTCGTCAACTCGGATCTTCTGACACCACATGAATGCAGCAAAAAAAATGCAGCATGCTTTGTGAGCCCACTCATGTCCAGGGGTGGGTAGAGTACTGAAAATCTGTACTCAAGTAAAAGTACAATTACTGCCATAAAAAATTACTCAAGTAGAAGTAAAATTACTATTTGAGAAACCTACTCAAGTAAAAGTAAAAAGTACCTGGTTAATAATTTACTCAAGTACAAGTTACTTTCCGTTTGAATATTTTTTTTATATAGCAGGCTATGTGCTTACTTACTTCAATATGCTTGCAGAGATTCGACGATGAGTTTTTGAAAGCAAGGATCTCCTGTTTTTTGGCAGGCACAGGAGGCACTTCATCAAGTAACTGTTCTTTTTTATGGATTTTGGCACAAAAAATGTGGCAAGCTCCCGCTCGCTCTTCGTTTTGACCCGGCTCCGACATGATCTTCACGGTCGGGGTCAGGTCAGGAGTGGAGGACTGGTGCTTGCTTGTTCAGCGGGTTCAAAACATGGCGCTTCAGCATGGTGTTTGTTTTTCTTCCACTGGCATCTTGCCATCTGCAGTAGAGACGTGCCTTGCGCACCACCTATTGTTCAACTTAAATCCCTGCATTTAGAGCAGACTAGATGTAACGAAGGTAAATGGCAAATGTAGTGAAGTAAAAAGTAGATTACTGACTCAAAAATATACTTGAGTAAGAGCAGAAGTACAGTTTTAAAAAAGGAACTTACAAAGTACTCATTCCTCAGAAAAACTACTTTTTTACTCACGTGTGTTACTTGTAACTCGTTACTACCCATCCCTGCTCATGGCACGGAAATATCTGTGCATCCCGGCAACAAGCACGCCGTCAGAGAGGGTGTTCAGCACGGGTGGAAACATTGTTAACCATATGCGCACTTTGCTTAAGCCAGATAAGGTTAACATGCTTGTTTTCCTCTCCAAAAACATGTAAAACACTGTGTTTTTGAGTTAAAGACAGCGCAAAGGGACTTTGTTTTTCCATTGTTCTTCGTTTAGCCTATATTTATTATTATTTTTATTTATTTATTCAAGCAATAAGCCTACGGGAGGCTTTTAGAACAGCTATAACAGCTTAAGTTTTTTTTGCCACGTCCGCAACAGCATTATTATAAAGACAACGCAAATTATTATTTTATGTGATTGTGTGATTTTTGCACTTTATTTTTCCAATGTCCTTCGTTTATATTTACTTATTTGTTATTATAGGCTACTGTTACTGTAACTTTTGTGGACCAACCAACTGTTTATTTTGTTTGAATAAATTTACCTGCGCCTTATCCTCTGACTGTGGCCTTTAAAGCTGCCCTGTAGAGTTTTTACATATAAACCAAGTTATTAGGATGATCACTGAACACATCTCCACCACACAACAGTCTCTGGTTTGCTTTGAAGTACTATTGCCTCTCAGGAGTGACAGTATGCAGACAGAGTAGTGAACTGAAAAGTTGCTGAAACTCACCCATATGCCGATGGACGCTCAGGTTTAGAGTCCTCACATCCCTTGTGGAGATCCAAGGGGAGAGGGGGTAGCAGCACAGCTCCACCTAATGGAGGCTGACGGCGTACATTACACCACCAGCAGCGGCCTGAAGCGTTTATACAAGGCAGGATGGATCCATGCTTCCATCTGAATGTGGTTTTTCCAATCTTCTATTGTCCAGTTTTGGTGAGAAAACCCGTGTGAATTGTAGCCTCAGTTTCCTGTTGTTAGCTGACAGGAGTGGTACCTGGTGTGGTCTTCTGCTGCTGTAGCCCATCTGCTTCAAGGTTGGACAAGGTGTTGTTGCTTCAGAGATGCTCTTCTGCACACCTTGGTTGGAACCAGTGCTTATTTGACTTCCTGTTGCCTTTCTATCATCTTGAACCAGTCTGGCCATTCTCCTCTGACCTCTGGCATCAACAAGGCATTTTGGCTCACTGGATATTTGCTCTTTTTGGGACCATCCTCTGTAAACCCTAGAGATGGTTGTGCTGAAAATCCCAGTAAATACTCAGACCAGCCCGTCTGGCACCAACAACCATGCCACGTTCAAAGTCACTTAAATCACCTTTCTTCATCATTCTGATGCTCCGTTTGAACTTCAGCAGCTCGTCTTCACCATGTCTACATGACTAAATGTTAATGAGCTGCTGACACCCGATTGGCTGATGAGCTATCTGCATTAACGAGCAGTTGAACAGGTTCAACCGTATAACTTAATTTTGAAAATCTTATTGTTTGTCTCTGGGGTAATACAGGAAACTCAACTCTGATGCTGTGGCTGATTCACAAGAGAAAACATGAACAGTGGTTCATCTGCTGGTTTGTTATTAGTTATCTAGTACTGACACCCAGTGGGTAGTTGTGGGACTGCATGCTTTTCTTGTTGCGAAGACAGAATCAGTCACACAGATCCCTGTCCTTTAAAGATATACATTCCTTTAGTGAGTGTGGACACCAACTCTGTGTGTCCAAAGACAGTGTTTCTGTATTGTTTTAAAGGACTAAAATGTTGAAACAACATATGTACAATATAATTAATATTAGCAGCTGGTTTATTGTTTTTGTCGTGGATCAAGACACATCAACATGACCTCAGCTTGAATTCAACCCAGAGTCTTTTGTTCTTATCCCCTGTTTTTTCCCCCCAATCGCCCCCCGTCTGTCACACTTGTCAACATTCTGTCTGTTTTCTTCTTCTGCAGTTCATGCCAATTAGAAGAAGTCGTCATGCCTCCCAAACGACTCAGTAAAAAGGAGCGAAGGAAACTGTACACATCACTGGCAGGCGAGGTAAGACATGTTTCATACAGACAGATAATGATGGATGTCTTCATCTTTGTGTAACTGATGTAAAACTAAAGAGCAGCAATGTTGCCAGAAAATTAAATCAGGATTTTTTCTGTATGTTTGCATTTGCTGATTACTGTCTGTGCATTGAATGAGCTGTCAAACATAGTGCTTGTAATAAAAACACAGTACTCTGTCACCATCTAGTGGCAAGAGAAGTGAATCACATGCGACTGCAACATTGTAAACCAATCGGTATCAAGCCCCATTCAGTTTCTAACTATATTTAGAGGCTTTTGAAAAGTGTTTTTTAATGTTTATCAGACATTGGGACACGGTGAAACAGAGGAGCTTCCATGATGTGATTTAAGACGTCACATTAAGGAATTCTTTGAAATGGTTCTACATGGAAATGACTCACATAAGAGTTGAGTTGATGTCCTGCAGTGTTTGACAACTTAGTTATAATCAGATAGAGTGAAGCACAACAGTAAGGGTGCACTAATGCTTTTGTTGTTCTTCAACTGTGGCAGTATAGCTTTCAAATCACACTGGCAGTGTGTATGTTCTCCTCCTTACCTTTACCTGAAGACCATGTGTGGTCTTTGGTGATCAGTTCTTTTTTTAAATTTTTTTATGACTACTTTTACTTCTACCTAAGCACATGTTTTGACAGAGTAACAGTAATTTTACCCACCTATGGTTCTGTCTTATCAGCACTGGAAGACACCCAGTATAACAGGACTCAGATTGGGATCATGCCCCCAAAGAAAGATCAGGATATCCCACGACATCTATCCATCTTTTAATGACCACAATCTCTCTCTGACTGTAACAAAGTCTGACGTTCATTGTTAATCTTGGGAACAGTGTTTTGACAAAATAATGGACCTTGATTTAAGATTATTTTGTCAAACTTAAAGGTTCTGTGATTGACTGTCAGGGCATGACTAAAGCTGCAAATCACTATTAGCTCAACCCGGTCTCACTCCGAAGTAGGGCTGCAGCTAACGATTATTTTTATTGTTGATTATGTCTTTGATTAGTCGACTAATCATTTTATCAAAAAATGTGTTAAAATGTTGAAAAATGTCGGCCTGTCTCTCCCAAACCCCAAAATCATGTCATCTAATGTCTTGTTTCGTACTCACGCCAAAGGGTTTTAGTTCACCGTCATGGGAGAGTGTGTAAAGCTGCCAATATTTGAACGTAAGAAGCTGCAATAAGAGTATTTTGGGTACTTTTACAGTACTTTCCTACGGAAAATGACTCAAACTGATTAGTCGACTACTAAAATAGTCACAGATTATTTTAATAGTGGATTGGTCAACGGTTAGTCGACTAATCGTTGCAGCCCTACTCTTAAGTTGACGAAAACCGGCATTTGGTCAGTGACTTCCAATGTCAGACAAAAAAAGCTGGCCTTTTATGTTGGCATGATATGCAGGCGATTATTGTTTAATGGCGCCCAGCAGTGTCGGGGGAAACGCGGCTGGATAACCACGAAAGTTTAGGTGGCAAGAGTCTGAGTAGGACAGGCCGGAGGGGTGGTGGATGGGTCCAGCAACTATTGACTTTCATCCACAAGGCCAGTGTTCGTCAGTTTTGTTCTGTCTCACTCTCCTTCGGCCATTTTACGCACACTGTTTCTGAAATCTTCCACGATCACCTGCCCCTCGCATATTCATAATTCACCTACTGACTGGCTTGTTGAGTGAACAGAGGAGAGGAGGGGAGGGAGCGGTATTGCACATGCGCGGCTTACGTAGAAGACAAAATAACATCTCCAGGCGACCGCGACCAAAAATCATCTACTCTTGATTTCATTAATTTTGAAATCGTTTGACCTCAAAATCGCAATCGCCAGACAATTAATTTTGGTTTTTTTTTAGACTTTTATTTATTTGCGCATATAAATATAAAACAAAACAAATACATATACATATCCCTCTTGGTAGAGAGGAAGGTAAGGACATGTGCACCTTGACCTAACAATAATTTAAGCAAAGAAAAGAAATAATATTAGCATACCTTGTGTCAGGTAGAGGTAATTGCACATCCTTATGAAGTAGTGCTTTTATTTTGACAGAGACTGTATGCAAACTGTACATTTCCTGTGAAAACAGAAGTGTATTTTGAAAACAGACAATGCATGTAACAGGCTGAAGTTGACACGGCGTCCCAGAACGTCAACAACCAACACACCCAGGGTACCTTGGACGTCATATGTGGACGTGGAAAGTCCATGACCAAACATGGACATGTGACGAGGTCACAGTGAATGTCTTGATTAACTATGTACAAATGTGGTGGAGTAATGAGCAGTGTGTGCATTCATGGGTAACTTCACAGATGTGCCATGGGCACTAACACTCCACCATACCATCACAGATGCTTTGAGCTTTGAGCTGGTAACAGTCTGGATGGTCCTTTTCATCTTTAGCTGGACATGACGTCCACGATGAACTGGTCCGACCACGTTGTGTCAGTCTGTCTCAGATGAGCTCAGGCTCACAGAAGTCACTGTTTCTGGATGTTATTGATACCTGGCTTTCAGTTTGCATGGTGAAGTCTCCACTTTCATTTGTAGGTGCAGCGATGTGTTTACTGACAGTGGTTTTTCCAAAATGTTCCTGAGCCCGTGTAGTAATATCCTTTATACAGTCATGTTGTTGTTTTTTAAGATTTTTTTTCGGGCATTTTTTAGCCTTTAATCAACAGGACAGGTGAGCATGAAGGGGGAGAGAGAGAGGGAGTGACATGCAGCAAAGGGCCTCGGGCTGGAGTCGAACCCGGGCTGCTGCGGCAACAGCCTTGTATATGGGGCGCCCGTTCCATCACTAAGCCACCGACGCCCCAGTCATATTGGTTTTTAATGCAGTGCAGTCAGTGTTCATTTTCAGTTTAGCCCCGTACATGCAGAGATTTCTCCAGATTCTCCGAAGCTTTTGATGATTTTATGGATTTCAGATGGAGAAATCTCTAAATTCTTGGCAACTTTGTGTTGTTTTTAAACTGTTGGACTGTTTGACCTTTGCATTTCTTTCATAAAGTGACTGTCCTTGGTTGTGAACAGCTGAGCCTTTGAGCATGCCCCTTGAATACCCAGTCATGACATTCTCACCTGTTGCCAATTAACCTGTTTACCACCGGATCGTTCCAAACAGGAGTTTTTTGAGCATTTCATAACTTCCCCAGTGCTGTGTTGCCTCTGTCCCAAGTTTTTTGGAATGTGTAAAATTCAGACTGAGTGCATATTTACAAAACAAAGTGAAGTTTATGAGTTTGCACATTAGATATCTTGTCCTTAATAATTATTGCATTCTGTGTTTATTTACATCTAACACAGCGTCCCAACATTGAGGTTGTAGAAAAAGCCTGGAAAGCATCACTTTTCTTCAAAATTACAGCCCAACTAAAAAAACAAACATCACACAACTTGCAGATGTTGTAGCTGCTGAATTCAGATTGTAGATTTAGGAGGTACCACTTCATTCTGAAGTAGTTTTTTTTTAAAAGCTGACATTGAGAAAATGATACTGGTGTTTTTGAGGACAGCACATTTTGAAGGTGAACTGCGAAGTTACTTTGATTCATCCTTTGTGATAATTCTTCATAAATGTTAGCAGGCTCTTTTCAAGTATAAGCATTGCTCTGGAACATAATGAAATGAAAAAAAGAGGGGAAAAAAATCTTCCATTTTTTACTTCCCTCCTTTGTCACTTTCTACTTTTGAACACAGCTCATTATTAATGCATGGTACCCAAGATGTGAACTGCTCAGAAAGCAGCGAGGCAGAACAGTTAGACAGCAGAGAAAGTCACAGACGACTACACAAAGTTAGACCAACAGCATCGAATGAAAAGTACAGAACCAGCACGTAGGAACTGGCCCGTCGGCACCAAAGCCGAGCCAATAAGGCGCCCTTATCTCCACAGCGCTCCGCAAAGAACGCCATCACTCTCATCTGCCTTCAGTGTCCGTATCACTGTGAAAATCAAAAAGTCAGTGTTGTAGCCTCTCGCCCTGCACAAAGTATATTTAATGCAGCTACTAAATGTTCATAGAGTTAGCTCACTATGGAATTAATTAGAGCCTGTTTTACTTTCCCTGAGTGTGATGTTGACTGAATGCTAATGAGTCTCAGAGTGTGGTGAAAAGGACATGCTTACAAGCAGCATAGGGAACAAATTAAGATGAGTGCAGTTATTTTCATTGATGATTTATGTATTAATCTGTCTACTTTTTAAATAAAAGAACGTTTGGCTGAACGCCATGGGGAAATAATCTAATTGTGATTTTTTTTTTTTTTTAAACCAATCTCGTGATTGCGATTTAGTACACAGTTCCTTATCTTCTGTATTATTCACTGTACACAAGCAATGTGTACAGTGAATAATATAGTATGACACACACCACAGTGGAGACACTCAACATATATATTAAATTTGATGCATCGTTCAGAACTCGTGCCAACCCAAACCAACGATGTGTTAGTTTGTCTCTACTGTCTTACACCCCTGTGTGTGGCTCTCAGCCCCAAACCTGCTGGGGTCTCGTACTGAGGGGCTACATTTTTAAAAAAACCTCACAATTATATCGTCTCATTGTTAGTAGTGCTGGAGCCATGCCTCTATGGGTGACATTGTCCGTCAGTCGGTCCAGACTAAATATCAGTCCGATATCAGTATCATCAACAACTATAGGATGTATTGGTAGGGTTGGGTATCGTTTGAATTTTAGCCATTCTGATTCCGATTCTGCTTTCCAATTCCAGTTCCTAACGATTCTCGATTCCGATTCTTTGAGGGGCGGGCAAATGCTTATTTCACACAATTTTTTTTAAAAATTATTTTTATACACCTTTCCACAAATTGACTCACATTCAGTCAGTCATTCACATTCTGCAGGGAACTAGCAGGTATAAAAAACAGAATAGAAACAGTTCAAGAAAATAAGCATATGTCAAGCCTTCTCAGGCAGTATATGTGAACGTCCAGCAG